ACACACACACACACACACACACACACACACACACACACACACACACAGTTGTCAGTACCAGACAGCAGAAAATCTGTTGGAAGAAAACAAACACTGACGGTAAGACTTTTCTCAAAAAACAACAACATGATGGCAGGAATAATAAAATACTGTTTGGTGTAATGTTAGAACAAAAGATGTAAAAAATCAGCAGGCAAATGTGTGTTCTGCATATGTTTGTGTGACTGTCGATAACGTATGAAGGTGTTGGTTTAGCTGTTGACTCAGCAGTGATAAAAGAAAAGGCTGAATTACAGTTATCAAATCAGAGGCACTTCATCTTATGTACACAGTCACACTGGAAAGCCTAAACAAACATAATCATTTACAAATTACATCGATCATATCACACCACACACAGAAATAGGTCCAGTTTACATATAAAAATGTCTTCATACTGTAGTAAAAAAGAAATCTTGTGACGGGCAAATTACAAAAACATACAACATTTTATCAGGTTTTAGTCCCTTGGAGAAAATAGTTACTTTGTGCAAACTAACATGTTTTAATAGAAGATGAAGAGACTTAACAGAGAGGAGACAAAACAATGTTACTGCTTCATGAATAAGGAACGTAATAATGAAGTAACTACGCTGCAACAAATGTGGGTCATATTGGGTCAGTCTGTAGCATTAGTCCAGACCCTCCGTTTACTACATTGTATGGCATATACTGCATGAATTTCAAAATGATTCCCATTAACTTATCAAATATACTGCTGACTGGCACTCCTACAGTTTGGGGACACACATTTGCGTGTAAAGTAACAGAATAAAGGTGCAGTTTGTAGGAGTTGGCGACACCTAGCGGTGAAGTTACAGATTGCAACATATCTGAAACTTCTCCCGTGTGCCAGGCGTGTTCGAAGAATTATGGTGGCCAACACAAACACCTGTATGGACCGATCTAGAGCCAATGCTTGGTTTGTCCGTTCTGAGCTACCGTAGAAACCTGGCGTCTGGCTCCGTGAAGAGGACACCTTTGTATGTAGATACAAACGGCTCATTCTAAGGTAACAAAAACACAATGATTCTTATTTTCAGGTGATTTATACACTAAAGAAAACATACTGATTACTGAAATATTATATTACATTTCTGCCAATAGATTCCTCTGCTCCTTTAATAGATATTTTGGCCACATGGGGGCAGTAGAAGAAGCTGTAAACACACCTGTTAAAATTAAAAACATTTCAAAAATATATATATATAAAAAAAATCACCTTATACAGTTGTTATGGCGAACGTTTTAGCAAACAGTTGTTGTATTTAGACATCTAGCAGCTACACAGCAACATTCTCATGGAGTTGGGTTTGTGTTGAATTTCACTCTCCATTTAGCTCTGTTTGTCTCCCAACAAGTATCTGGTTCTCCAGCTGCTAAATGCTCCGCTATGTTCACCGGCTACTCTCAGTGTCCGTCTGCTGTTTTGGTGCTGGGCAGGTAATGTACAATGGGTTTTTCAGAGCAACAACTAAAAACAGCTGCAGTTGGAGACGGGTTGAAGCAAAACATTAAAGTTGCCCACCATCAAAGCTAGCATATGGCTTGACCGTGTCATTGTGCTACATTTTGGCCAAATTGTTGCAGGAATAGTCAGTAGGGGTGTCTATAATGTCAATTCTTGGGTATTCAAAATTGACAATTGAATTTTTCTGCAGTGGTTCCAGTAATATTTGTTCTAAAAGTGTACTGAAGTAGCATATCACGTGACACGGTTCAGCCATGTTTGAGTCAATAATTAAGAGAATATTTGCAGCCTATTCAATTCGAAAGAGCAACGGCCAATGAAGAGACTCCAGCACTCGACCGACCGATGACTTCCTCATTAAGTCAGTGAGTCGGGGACAGAGTTGCATGTTCATAGGGCTTCTGCTCAATGCAGCTGTAAGAGTCCTTTTCCATGGTGTGTTTGCATTATTTTGTCCATCCCCTCTGTAGATAAACATCATATCACTACTCCCAGCTTTAGTTAACATTCAAATCAAATTTGGGAAAGCTGTCTGAATTAGGCACTTTAGTCCCTGAATGTGCTGCTGAACGACACAGAGTGTGTTTTGTTATCCAGCTGAAGCTACAGTATGTCCTCTACAATAATGCTGTTGTCATATACCTCCTTTTCTGCAACTGTGCTTATTTAAAGCAGATATCTCATCAAGTGGAAATGAATGCACTCATTGTGCTGGAAGCATAAACTAGTCTTTTCTAAAGGGACGAGAGGAGATGAACAGCGTCCTGCTAGGGGGAGGGGGGGAGTCCAGGTCATAGCCTGCACTAGTTCAGTGTTAGTCCAGCTGAGATATATATATGAGGCAGCCGGTGACAGAAACCGAACAGCGATGACTTCATCACTCGGCGACGTCACAGGCAGAAACCCCGGTGTCAGTCTCAATAGTAAGAGTGTCTCTGTTGTCCACTTCTTCATTCATCCGTGCTGATTCAGCTTTCCTGCACAGTCAATTGCATGTATTTGCAATAAAAGTAATTTTTGACATGCAGCTCCTGTAGAGCGTAAGTGCTCAGTCTGTGAGGCTTTCAGTCCGTCAGACGATGAGGGAGTCCCGGCTGAGAAGAGTGCTCTGGTGAGGAAACAAAAATTAAATTGATTATCACAACGACAGAGAGTTTACACGCCAATATGAACACGTCTTTTTCAGTAGAATGAGAGAGTTAAGAGATAGTAAACATTAGCCAAACACGGTTATTATGATGAACCTGGGACAAATTGCATTTCAACAGTTTTTTCGAATTATTTGAAGATTTGATTGGAACCCCTGAAAGACGGCTCTGGTCAATTCATTTACGTTGTACAAGTCTTTGATGTTGAAAAGCGTTTTGACCCAGGTTTGTGAGGGAGGAGACAACCAGTTAAGATTGTTATTGAGAGTAGTTGGATACAGAACAGAGTATTCTACCTAGTTTTCACTGTAGTAGCGTCTGAACCTGACCTGTCAAAGGCACAACAACAACACTTATTGGAGGCCTACAAACCTTTTGAAGAGTTTCTCAGAGCTGGGACCCCGTGTGGGGAAGACAACATGATGACATGAGTTTGACACACTCATACTAGATAAAGTAAATGTTACAGGTTTTAAATATGTGAACTTTTCTGCATATAGTTCCAAAACAATCAAAAAGTTCTACCCCCGATGCCGGGAACTAAATGCAATCCCTGGTTCCTCTCGACAAAATGCTGGTTTAGTTACTGAGTTTCTCAAAAGGTTCTTGGGCCTCGATTTCGGTGGAAATGCCCCAAAACTCCCTTAGAAGCAAGGAAATACAACATTGAGTGTTAAACACTTTGCCGTTAGCCCAGTGTTAACGTTTTCATCATTTACACAACAATAGCTAATTTTCAAAAACTAGAAAAGATGCTACACAAGCTCTAGTCATTGCTGTTGATCTGCAAATTAGCATTACCAACCAACCAATAATTCAAAGGCTTAAATGGAGCTCACCGTTTTGCGGGTCTTGTCTTTGGGCTCCTCTCTGCGACCGGGCAGGGGATGGGCAGGAGGCTGAGAGGAGCGAGCGTTTGCAGGGAGCGGCCGTGGAGATGGCCTGTCAGTCCTGCTTCGCTCCGTGTCTGAGTAAGCAGGCAGTGAGTCGGCCTCGGGCCTGTTACTGGGTGAGTGGCTGCAGTGCCGACTAGATTCCCCGCTGCTCTTCTTCGAGCTGCCCTTCGAGGGCGTGTCTGAATCCTCCTCGCTCCGGGCCCCGCTCTTCCCCTGGCTGACCCCTCGCAACTTAGCCTTGCGATCCAGCAGGCTGTTCAGGAAGGTGCCGTCGTAGTCCTTCTCTTGAGAAGAAGTTGATGGTGGACTGATTCTGGGAGGAGGGGGAGCGGGGCGCTCGCTGTCCCAAGTGCCCCTCCTCTTTTTGGGTGACTGAAGTGGGCTTATGTTGTGTCCGCTTTTCTTGTTCCGTCTGGGATGATCTTCGTGGTCGCTGTCGTCTCCGAGCTCATTCTCATCCGTGTGATAATACTGAGGCGGGCCATTGCGGTAGGATGGGTATCGACTGAACTCCCGAAGCTCCATCTCATAGTCTCCCCTCTCCTCTTCCCTTTTCCCTTCCCCTCTGCCTCCCCTCTGCTTGTAGGAAGCAGCAAACTCCTCCAGCTCATCCAGTGAGCAGGTTCGTCCGGCAGTACGGTACGTCTTTCTATGCAGATGTTCTGAACGAGGGTTCCACCTGTGAAACACAACCCGAGGCCGAGAGAGGACCAACAGGGAGAGACATGGGAAACGGATGCAAGAGAAGGTCAACAGGTTTCTGAGTATTGTGTCTATTTAAATGTTGAAATGCAGTCACTGCTTGAGTAAATGGGTTACAGTTGGATTTCTCCAGTTAGTTGATTGCTTAAACGTCATGTACTGTATATAAGACATCAGTTTTCTGTTATCAGTAAACAGAGTATCTGTACCTGTTGTGGTTTTCCTCCTCGCTGTGATTCTGTTGCCGTTGATTTCGGCCAGGCCTGCGCGACTGCGAGAAGGACGGAGGTTCGTCGCTGTTCCGCCGCGGAGGAAGATCCTCGTCCTGGCAGCGGCGGGGCTCTGAGTCGGATTCATCGCGATATCGTTGGGGTGAAGGGGGATTGTCGCGGTAACGCTGCGGCTCTGGGCTGCGGTTTTCGCGGTATCGTTGGGGCTCGGGCGGAGGGTCGTGGTCAGGGATGGCAGGCAGAGCTTTCTTCTGGACGTTCCGGTATGTTTGGCGGAAGCCGTTATCTCTCTCGTGGAGGGAGCTCAGCTCGGACAGGCTACAGGCTGGACAGGTCCAAATGAGGGCATGGTTAGATGAAGAAGAACAACTGAACAGGCAAACAAATAAACTGAGAATCCCTCTTTATGGAAGCACAGAATTTGAGAGAAACAAATACAAAAACAAAGACATTACAGAAGAAGAAAGTCAGAGTCGAGGTCTGCAAGCGATTACACGGTGTTGGTGGGAGAATTATGAAAACATATTATTTCAGGTAAGCCATGCACACCTGCTACTACGCACATCTCAACTACAGGAAATTCAGAGCGCAGAATGCTGGTGCAGAGATGCAGAGAGACATGCCAAGGCAAGCTCAAGGGAACAAAAGGGAACAAAAAGCCAAAAAGACGCATGCATCAACATGCTATAGAAGATGCTGACAGCATTTTCAGAGAGTGAATCCACAGGATGGGTTTGTGTAGCTTACACTGGGGGCTCATGGACCTGGCAGGGTTGAAGTGAGCCAGTTGTTTCTCTACATACTGAAGCACCCTGAGAGAGTCCTGATCCTGAGGCGAAGGCACGCGGTAGGGAACCCCTACAGCATGCATCGCCACTGGAGATACACACTTGAGCCATCAGCATGGATAACTTCTGTTTGACTGTGCGTGTTTGTTCATTGTGGATTGAGGACCACACTCGTGCTTTTGCTTTTGTTCTATAGTATTCAATTACTATTGCTTCTGTGCAAAATTACAGAATAACACAGATAACACAAAGTCACACGAGAAAACAAATTCAACATTCAATATTCACATATAGAGAAAATAAAACTGAAAGAAACAATTCCTCATAAAACCTATTTTTAATGCAGTCTGATACGAAGGCAGCGTTTTCAAATGAAGTTTATCTTGTAGATTATTCAACTCCCAGCAAATATTTTCAATTTCAGAATAAACTCTGGGATAATTAATGAGGTAAAAGAACAAACAAACACTGATAATATCTTAGGTAAGACCTCACCTGCTGTGAGTAGGCTTCCATCCGAAGGGGGGACGGAAGACATCTTGTCCACCAGAGAAGGGGGAGCGATGGGGACCATCGTGGGGACACCAGTGACAAAGTATGGAGGGTAGGCAGGTGTCGAGGTGCCCGTCTTTATACCTTTACCTGCCTCGTATACTGCAAAAGCAACAGGCGACACCCATTCAGACTCAGAAAAACATACTTCGTTCAAACAGTGTCAGTACTGTCAGGTCACTTTTGCACCTCTGTGTGTGTGTTTATACTCACGGTGTCTTGGGCAGCAGCATGTGTCAGGGCAGCACCAGCAGCTGACGTAGCAGCAGCAGGAGTGAGGACAACACTGACACCAACAAACCCCAACCAACAGCAGGAATAAGACACTGCCCAGTGCCACGGCCGACACGAACACCCACTCTGCAAGTACACACAACCCAGAATCCTGCATTCAAGCTCACATCGACAGAGGAACAGTTTCATTTGATCAGACCACTGTGTACTCACTTCCAATGACGTGGGACTGGTGTACAAGCTGTGGGGGTTCACTTTAAATCTGTCTGTAAATTAGCAGTATACTTCCTGCTTTCCCTCTGTACCGGCTCCATGTTTACACTGACTGAACCCAATTAATTGCACACTGTATACTATTTTAACCTTATTTTGAGAATGTCTCATCGTTACATTTCTAAAGAAAAAAAGATGCCAATGCCAAAATGTAAAACTACAATAGATTTCCTGATACACTTTTATTGTTGTTTTGCTTGAGAATTAAATAGATTAATCACAATGAAAACAACAACAACAACAACAACACAACACAAAAGAAATGCAAAAAGCTAGTGGCCAACACAGTGAGGAATCCTTCCTGTAGAGCTACGGGACATCTTAAGGGAGAAGCAGCTGGATTGTTGAAAAATGTGTCTTCTATTATTGGAAGTTTTTATTTACTTTTTCTTGTTTTCCAGGAAGTAAAAGTTTTTTAACAAATCAGAAAACAGTCAATCTTAACCAGAATATGAGTTCCCACTTAAAGTAAGATGATTTTACACACAGTGCTTGAGTATTGGAGCGCTGAAGTGAGTGATACAGCAAGTAGCACAGATAAACTACATGTATCTGTCTATACAGACAAAGCAAAGGAAAGGGAAGGAGAGGGCAGATAAGGAAATCTTTAACAATGTAAAACCAAGGACGACATTGTCTCTATAAACACACATACACACACACACGCATGCACACACACGCACACACACACACACACACACACACACACACACACACACACAGGAAACCAGATTTTTCTAACAGGAAGGAAAGGCACGGTTTATACCGCTCTGGAAGATACTGAAGATTTTGCTGGGACAACAAATTAGCTTGTAATGTGATCTCATTTGCAACTATTATGACCCCTACACACACACACACACACACACACACACACACACACACACACACACACACACACACGTCTTAGAGCACTGTGGGAGTCGATGTGGACAACAGCGCATACTAATGCAACACTAAGACCAGAGATAAGCTTGCACTAACCATTCTGGCTGACTGACTCATACCATGTTAATTTGGGAGTTACTTGCACACAATTCATGCATCGTTTCCCCACAAACTCTGTGATAATGAAATGTGTATTACAGGAATTTGACGTGACATAAACAAACCTCCCTCCCTCTTGATCACTGCGGGGTTGTTTTTTACTGGGTGGTGTCCAAATGATGTGGGATGACACCCGAACCACAACCATAAATAACTTTAATGATCATAATAGCTGTTTTCAAGCACAGCTCATCGTAGTGGGAGCGACGGCTGGCTCATTATCTGACGGGTGTGGAACTGACCGTTGGGTCAAAAACGGCTGTGAAGTCTGTCAAATCCTTCTCGTAGCTGAATAATAAACACCTGTTGCATTATTAACTAACTTGAGAGGGGAACAGGTTAGATAGTATCAGAGCTGTTAGCATAGGAACCATTTAACATGGTGGAAAAATGTTATTGGCCTCCATCTTATCAGATCAAGTCTCCTTCTACATTTCTTATACCGTGTGCAAAAAGCCATCCCAAAAGCCTGCACCACCACCCAAAATGGTTCCTACAGCCAGGGTTAGAGCAGTTAGTAGGGTTAGCATGAATGGAAGGAACACATTATGCCCCTACCTGGCATAATCTTCAAGTCAAAGTCTGGCAGCAGATCTTCAGGCACGCCTGAGAAACCTGGAGAGAGACAGAGCAGAGGTGACAACAGGAGAGGAGAGGAGAGGAGGAGGAGGAGGAGGAGGAGGAGAGAGGGAATGAGTGATATAAATGACTGATTCAAAGAAAGTTGTTGCAGGAGCAGCATGCATGAGGAGAGAAGCGAGACAAAAACCAGAGGGACATCCAGAGAAAGATAAAGAGAGGACAACAGCAGCATGCACCAGAGGACACTCTGGTCTTGTTCCAGAAAGTCTGCAGACAGAGAAACTGATAAGCAGGTCGACCATCTGGTTCATGAACCTGTGAGGTAATCTGAGGTCTGGTGAGAAGACAGACTGGAACAGCAATCATCCTCGTGAAGATACCATGACAAGTAGGCAGGAGCTGTGAGTAATGTTACATGCAGAGCTGCAAAAAGCACAGGTGGGAACATTCCTCACGTCCAGAGCCAGCAAACAGACCGCAGAGAAACCTTTTGTTCCTGAAACCTTTTCCCTGACTTGAAGAGAGGGTCGTGGCTCCGTGATGAGATCTGGAGCACCTTAAGGTCATTCATTCGCTCCCTTACAAAGATCCCTACTTTGACAAACCAAACCCGCTGATCAACTCAAGAAAGTTGCTGTAGACAGCTGGAGTTGCACGCCACCTCCATATTAGCTTATACAACTAAATGTGTTTTTTCATCATACTAGTTTTCTGTCAGTATTGTGTTTAATTACTGATATTTACTACAGGAATGAATACTTACATTTAAACACTAAGTGATTCTAAAGATTAAAAACATCCGTTTTATAGAGGGCTATGTGTGGGACTCTTGGCTCACATTGACGACAAAACTCATATTTCCAATATATCTCATAAAATGTCAAACTATTTATTTAACTACAGCTCCAATGAGGCTTTGATAGGGAGACCATGGCAAAGATTTTTATATTTCAATGTTTGACTGCATAGTTATTCATTTGGAAATAAAATTGACATAATAAACTGAAGTTTTTAAAATCTCTGACAGTGTACGTCATGACCTGCTGAGGCCGATGTATTGGCTTTCTATCTATATTGTGAGATTGACTGACTTCTACACGTAAATACTTGTTTCAAATGAACACATTTTTAAATATCCTTAAAAAAACATCACCACCTGTTGTTGTTCCTGGTACTTGCTGGTGTTTTGTCTTTCTCCTTTAGTTTTTTTGTATTTTAACACATGCTTTATGGGACTCCACACAAGGTCGGTCAGCAGAAGTCTGAATGACCGTGTCACAAGCTGGTGCAAAAATGTGTTCTGCTTTGGGTGCATCGGTCCATGAGAGCGGTGCGCGTCGTAAGTTGAAGCTTTGTGAACAAAAGCCAGAGATTAAGCGTGATGTGAGCAGATACGGGTGCTTTACTGTTGATGGTGTGATCGGGGCAGAGAGGAGGAAAGGGGTGCCGAGCAGGAGAAAGGAAGGACTCCAGAGCAGGCTGGACTGTCTTGGCCTCACTCTGGCTGACAGTGCACATACCTCTCTTAGTATCTTTCTGGAAGGCTAAATGTGTTCTTTGCTGGATTTGAAAACAGAAAGAAACCCTCTTAAGTTTAATGAGAAGCAGCTGAAGTTTGCATTATGTGCATTTAAAAGCACCTCAAATTTTTGAATCTGTTGTTTTTTTACTGGCAGCTCAGTTGTGAAGTTCCCACTCACACGCAAATTTGACTGCAGGCTGATGATTCACCAAGGTTTACTTTCAAACACTTTGGGTTTGCTTGTTTTTCCATGTGTTTATCCACACGGGAGGTATTTATACACTTATACTCCTCCTATGGGAATACACTGTAAAGGGAAGGTGAGCCTACTTGCTGAGAGTTTTATAGAGACGCTGTATATTAAAAAACACACACCACGCACACACATGCAGATGCAGAAACCAAATCATAGGTAAGTTTCCGTAATTGTTCAAAGCAACACTACAAACAGGTCGTGTCCAGCTTACACATGACTTGTGACCCATTTATTGTTCATAAGCTTTGGAACAGGGCTCAGGAGTTTGTCCACCAGAGAGGACTAACAAGTTCATATCTTGGTATCGTATCTTTATCAAAATATTTTCTAAATTAACAACAAATATCAGGAATCTGCATCAAGATTGTTTGTGTTTCTGTTAAAAAGATTCCTATCGGAAGATATATTGCTAATTATGTTTTTAAGCTCCCATATATTGTTATGGGCCTCTTAAGTCCAGTACCTGTTGGGCTATAGGTTGGATACAATGATACTTGAATGCTTTAAAAGGTTTTGGGGAATATTCGTCCACTTAACACCATGCATGAAAAGGTTCAATCTTTTATCGAGGAACACTTTGCACGTGGTACATTTCCTGCCTCGTGCACATTTCAATGTTTTGTCAAAGTTTTGATTCATTAGCAAATAGCTTCAGAGCCACGAAAAAGGTCAATGGGAGTAAAAAGGGAGTTGTCAGTCAATCAGCCGAGTGTCTCACTTGGTGTCACCCTCCATCTTTTGTATCACTGTGTTCTGCTGTCCCTCCTCCACGTCATTAAATCTTTCCTCCCTTCTTTGCTGTGAAGCCATTCTCTAAAAAAAAAAAAAAAAAAGACAAAAGACGCCCGAGCCAGTCGCGGTGGCCCCAACTGTTGTTATGGAAACACAAGTGCCTCACATGCCATATTAGCTACACCAAGACCAGGAAATACAACATCTCAGCTCTGTGGAAGATTTAGAGTCTCTGGGTTCAGGTTAAAGACTGCAAAGGGCATCCGGGAAAATCACGTCATCTTCATTTGCCGGTAGCATTATCTGTCACATAGTATCCTACCAGGACCCAACATTTCACAGAATGGGCTCAAGTCTTTGCAAACTGTAAAAGCTTATCGTCGAGTACTTATGTGTGTATTTCTGTGTGTGTGTGTGTGTGTGTCTTGTGTGCATACACATAAGTCTCTGTGTGCCAGCCAAACAAAAGTTCAGCCTCAGAGTGAATTGGAGCAGCAAGAGCCACATCGCTTCTCAGCCGTTGCTCTGGGAACATTTGTAACCGAACGTAGACGAGTACACCGTCACTGTACAGATACTTCTACACACACACCTGCATACACAAATACACACACAAACACAGGATTAAGTGGCGTGTCAAAGACTCAGTACAAGCGATAACTGTCCTGCAGTCACAACGTTTAATAAAAACGTTGTGTATACGCTGACATACAGTATGAGGGAATGCAGTTGCTGTGGTCACAGATTAACAGACTCCCCTAGAAGTGCCACCGTTTGTCGTAAATCAGCTCATTAATGAGCCTGTATTGTGCCGTCGGTGATGAATAGGTCGGCTTTTTAAAGGCGGTGTTATGTAACAGCAGAATTCAATTTTTTGTGTCCATGATTTAATTACATGCAAAGGATTGGACATGAGTTGGGATGGGACACCACTAGAGTCAATGACTTAATAACACATTGTTTCATTCAGTCTGCTCACACCGGTCCTGGAAACACATTTTAATGGATGTCAATGAGACATAAAGGCAATATTCACGGAGAGGTGTGGCCAAGTTCTTACCAAGCTGAAACCCTTCACAACAGGCATGCTGGGAAAGTAGTGGCAGCTTACCAAGAACCAGCAGCTCCACGGAGGCTTCGCTCCGACCCTCTAAATCATCCGATATCACCACTTTGCAGATGTAGACTCCACTGTCTCCCCACTGGACCTCTCCCATGCGCAGGTCTGCCTCTGAGAGAAAAGGGAAGAGGTTAAAGATGTGCAACAAAGTCCTCCTAAATGCATATTTAATCCACGTCTTTGGCCCAAACATTTCTTTGATGATAAATGAAGTTCAACCGGACCTCATTTTCAGCTACAAGTTGTGACCATTAATTAGCCTGCCACTCAAAGCTGTTTCCCTCTTCTCAACCGACTGATCTTTATTGGATCTTTTTAGTTTTTAGGTATTTATACTCTTAGCAACTTTAGAAAGTGGAACACAAAAGGTCGGTTCACTGAGAAGTTTAATTAAAGAGCCAAACTGATACTCGATTCAGATTAAAATGCTTAAACCTCAACCCCTCAATTCATAATTCATGTGGCAACCCACATGATTGCGGAACATCTCATTCCAAAACCAGAAGCATTAATCTGCTGCTATGAAACTCCCTTCACTCTTCCAGAAACACTTTCCACAAGGCTTTGGAAGCTGTGAGCTGGGATTTGCTCCCTCTCAGCCACTAGAGCATCGGCAGCATCCAACTCTGATTTCAGGTGGTCCGGTCTGGCTCACAGCCGGCGGTGCTATTCCTCCCAGAGGGGCGGGACGGGGTTGAGGTCAGGGATCTGTGCAGGCCAGTCAAGTTCAGAAAACCAGACTAGCCTGAACACTAAAAAACAATGGTGCCCGCATACCTTTGGCCAGATAGTATGTATTTATGACAGCTTACGATAATGCATGAAACTACAATTCATTTCTCATGTTTTTCTCATTGTGGAAGGGACATTTTCAAAGAAACGTTATTCCATGTCACTCAAAAAACAATACAAATATATTTTGGGCCGAGCATCCCACAAAGAAGACAATACCGGAAATACCGCTGACTGTATTGTGAGGGGGTCAGACATGTAAAACAGCAGACAGGAAACAGGGTTGTATAGTTCCCTTCCTTTTCCTGTTAGCTAAGGAAGGGGGAGGAGAGACAAGCTGACCAGACCTCACCACTGTGACTGGAAGTGCAAGTCAGTGTGTTGGTTTGACTGTGTTAGCCATGTGATTAACAGAACACCCGCTGCCCAGTGCATGCTGGGACAGACTCCTTGTGATGCTGAATAGGATTACATGAGCCTGGATGAACGGGCATCTCTAAAAGGCAACAATCTCAAAGCGTTCACTTTTCTTTTTGTTTTACAACATCGCTGTGCCGACCTGTTTCAGGACAGGAGGCTGAGCGGGACAGAGAAAGAGAAAAGATAAAGAGTGTGTGTGGAGGGTCTGATGTGCAAAGATCTACAGAGTGAAAATGAAAGCGGGCCATTGAAGTACATCAGAGGGAAGGAGAGGGAGGTCGGGATGAATGAGAGGACAGCGTGAAAACCATCTCTTTTGTCCGTGTTGTTCCTGGCTGGTGAAGAGAAGGTCGATTCTTCAACCAGAGTAAGAGCTCCATAAATCTGAGGCCTGCAAACAAGGCTACCTCTCTGTGTTCAACAAGAAGCACACACACACGCACACACACGCACACACACATGCGAACATGCACAGCAGTGTCCCTTAGATGATCCTTAAATATCATGATGGTGAGAGGGTAAGAGAATGTAGAGCTGAGGACAGGGGGGATGGCATGAGCATGAATAACGGTTGTTGATCTGTCATAAACTGGTGCAATATTGTTTAAACCACTGTCTTTATTATAAATAGAATTTAAAAATATAGATAAGTACTGAGCATTTGCAAAATAAACATTATTTTTCACAGGTAGATAAACTCTGTAATGGTTTAAATTAGGTCAAACATATTTTCAGGTGTTTTTGTACTTTTTGTGTATATATCTGCAATGGTAGCCTACTGTGGAAGCTAATTTAGATTAATTTTTCTGACCGATAGCCATCCCCATCACTAACCATTAACTGATAACACTAGTGCCCTGTATGCAGGGCTGCTGTGGTTGAATTGCCAAACAAGTTTCCCAGCTCACAAGTGAATTTGGAAAAACGTTGGCACTTTTTCTTCTCTCAGAATCGACCTGATCAACTGTACCAGAGAGGCTGCTTTCTTTAACCAAACCTTTAAACGAAAACTAAGAAAGTGCTTTTGAGTGTGTGTTAAAGCGCTGCTTTCTTTTTATACGTGTCTCTTCTTTGCTTAATTCTATTTGTGTATTTTACAACATTTTTCATGAGCGGCAATCTGTTTCACGTCTTGACGTAAAAATAATTCTCCAGCACAAGTTGCACACTGCCAGCGGATGAAGTCAAATTCCATCTAAAGCTGGTGAGCTGAAGTTCTGCCTTTGGCCTCACAGCTGCTGTGTGATTTGAAAAGAAGATCATTTTCACCATGAGCATCAGAGACACAGAACCAGAGATGAAGGCTAGTACCACATGAGTCTTACTGTTGATGATGGAGATGTCTCTGCTCTTGTAGTACTCTGACAGCGTGATTGAGGATCCAGAGATGGAGGCCACGGTTCGGACCGTCCGGCTGCTGTCGGCGCAGTCCAGGTAGCTCGCCGTCATCCCCGTCTCGTAGCCTCCGGCGGCTCCTCTGGTTCCGCCCATCAGCCCACCGCCTCCCTGGCCTCCGCTCAGGCTGTCGGGGAAGTTGAATGAATCCCGCGTGCGGTCCCGACAGTACGACTTGTAGACCCACTGCACCACGGGCGTCTGGGTGGACACGCTGTTGTACTGGCACGGCAGAACCACGGACTGGAACAGCACGGCATACTTCTTCTCATCTCTCACAAACACATTGACCCCCGAGCAACGGGGAGGGAGGACGCCTGTGGGAGGACGAGGACATAATGAAGAAGGATCAGTAAAGTGTGAAAGAAAAACAAGTCCAGATGATGAATCGTTACTTTCACTTCGTTAAAAGTCATACTGAATGATTGCAAACAGGATCTGTGAATAGCTCATTTGACATATTTTTAATGGTACCAGTTTGCTGTTGGGGGCGGCGCAGTGTCAGACTTTGAAAACTGCTGGCTTACACAAACACTCAACAGATCTGGCAGCCAAAACAGGTTTAAGTAGTGACTGGGAGTGTGTAATGAAGGGGATTTAAGGACGACTACAGCACACAGCAGCACACAATGATTCAGATGCTTAAGATGTTTAAGGAGACACCTGTTCCTGTTCGCCCACTTTAAAAATATCAGACAAATAACACGCTCCCCTCATTGCATCACGGAGTATTTTAGGATGATCACTCTTTTTTTTTTTTTTTCGTTCAGCCAGAATGAAATGAATCATTGTGCAGTTTGGCAAGTTAAGTATAAGATCAGAAAACGAGGAGAGGTCCTTTGAGTTGCTTCTGCTCGGTGAAATCCGACTGTGAGGTGAGTTGACTCTGGGTCACATGATGACCAGGAGCTCCAACTCGGTAGTTCAACAGCAACACACACTAGAGGGGTGACCAAGTGACCACCCCCCACAACACACACACACACACACCCAGAAACATCTGTGTGTGTCTCGCAGGCTGAGCAGTGGGAGGTGAGACTGAGCTGGACCAGTGAACAGGGATGAGCTGCTTCACTTAATCCAGACCAGGCCTGTTGAAAGACTTTTGTTTTATTTCTACTAACTACACACCCTCCCCCTGTTTTTAAAGAACTGATGCATTTCATCAGAAAACACCAACAGGCTACATCAAGCACAGTGTTACGTTTACCGAGACGACTTGTTCTTGGCTTTCTACAGACTTTCACACACCGACACCTTTTCTATTAAAACCATCACAGGCCCAAACAGAGTTTCTAGCTGGTGCCCAAATGATTTGCCCATTGATCTATTAGTTGATCAACAGAAAATGAATCAACAACAACTTATAACTGACAACTGATTGATCATTAAAGTAATTTACAAAGCAAAAATACCAAACACAGCTGGTTCTACCTTCTCAGATGTGAGAATCTGGTGCTTTTCTCTGTTTTGACTTCATTAATTATTATCATTATTGATTATATTGCATACAACAACTCAATAATGAAAATAGTCATAAGTTGCAGCCCTTTTAACAAAAACTGAACATTTCTACGCGTGTCTTTTTATGAGTAAGATCAACGGTAACCTCTAAGTTCTTATACCCAAAGCAATCTCATTGACAGTAAAATACAAAACCCAGGTCATTACAACTAAACACCATGAACACGCAGTTCTCAAAGGGGAAAAACGTCAAAGAGCAACTAATAAAACACGAGTCAGACGTTAAAGCAAATCAGACAGACCATGAATCTCCCCTTCCAGATGTTTGCTGATTCAGCTACTCTGAGGTCAGTTTACAAAGACATTTTAAAAACTGTCAAGTTTGATGCTTAAATATTTAAAGCCTCTTGATACTTTCGTTCACACCTTGCCTGATAGTTTGTTGTTTTATTCTTCTTACCAGTGAATAATGGTATCTGTAAGTGCGTGTGTATCTAAAGTTGGTTTCACAGTAAAAGCTTGGCTGGAGTTTTGTGGATTTAGGGGGGGAAAAATAAGCAATTCTGACCAAGACGAATCAAACTGACTCGAACATAAATTCCTCAAGGATTTTGTTTCTCTGACTTCTGAGAAGTGGAACAAAAAATAAGGCCAGGAGGTTGGTCTTCCTGGGATCACAGGCTGAGGGGGCGATCCAGCCTTTATTAGTTTTCAGAGGAAGCCACCTCCAGAGGAGAACATGAAGGCAGGAGGAGGAGGGCTAAAACAGCCACTGCTGTCATATTGGACAGTGGACTTTTGCTGAGAATGCTTGAGACTTGAGTGTATTAAAGTATTGATTTGTCTGAATTCACGTGGGGAGAATAACTTCTTTAAACTTGTTACAGAGAGGAATCTGCATGCATGCTGTTTCACTGATTTGTCATTACACGGTCCTTTTAATGGAGATAAACATGTAATGTGCCTTTAAGAAAGCATTGCACGTAGTCCTACTACAGTGCTAAAAGACACTCATCATCATACTCACAACAATGAGCCCATATGCGTAGTCTTCCTTCATTGAGCTTCTGTAGTACTAACTGTAGCTACTGCACCTGTTGTATTTGTATCTTGTATTTAGTTATTATATATATTATATATATATATGTATAAATCGTCTTGTTTTGTCTGTACGTTTTAGCCATTTTGTGTAAAAAAACGCTCCTGGATGATTAATCATTAGCAACATTTTTGCTGATTCGTTGTTGACTAGTATGTTATTCAACGAGTAGGAAGCCACATTATTGATTGTTTTTTCACATACACTGTATTTATGCACCTGTGTATTTTTACTTGTCTGTATTTTGTTCCAACCACTCTTGTGCTGCTGTAAGGACATTTCTCATCAAGGTGTTACATTTTTACTGTTTCATGATTTTTCTAGAGCAACAAAGATGAATCAATTAGTTGTAAACTATTAAATCAATCACCAACTATTCTAATAATTGAGTAATTGGCTTGAGTAATTATTTTAGAAAAAAAAACTTATACTAACTAATAATAACTTAATATTGTGAATATTTTCTGGTTTCTTTAACGTTACTCCTCTATAACGGTAATCTGAGACGTGGACACAACTCATCTTGGGCTTTGGGACACACTGATCAACATTTTTCACCATTTTCAAACTATTTTTGGACCAAACAATCAATTAGGATTTATCGAAAATAATAATCAACAATAAAAAAGAATCGTTAGTTGCATCCCTACATTTTCCTTACATGTTTTTAAGGTCTTTTGTTAGACTAAATGAAGTGGTAACCTGTCATTTCTCTGAGAGGCCTAATTATCTAAATCATGAGTTAAATCTGTCAGAAGTTGGACCTCCTAATCCACGAGCCCCAAAGCTTCTGGTCGGATCATCCACACATGACTGACCGCAGCACTACGAGCACAGAGGACCACAAAGCACCGCGCTATATTAACGCACTTTAATACTTCCCTGCGTAAAACATTGCAGCGTGTGCATAATATACATGTTCTTCATGTGCCAAGGAAGGAAAACTGAAGTTTGGCTTATAAAATGTAATTAATATGGGAAAAAGTTAAGTCTAAAAGCTTCATTATTTCTGCACATGTTCAATCAGTGTAGTTAGCGTCGTTAAAGTGACGCTATCTCAGTGGTTACTCCAAACTTAAATCTGAGTTAAACAACCTGTTACACCACTTTGCACCGAGGTGGTTCAATCTTTCCCTGCTCGTCTTCTCTTACCTGACACACAGACGATGAAAATCCACCACTTCGGAACCAAAAACATTTTCCAACTCCTGTAGGTGAATTTAATTAAAGTTTTCTGATGAACTTCGTCTTCTTTTGTCTGTCGTTTCATCCCTGGACGATGTTTCAAACTCACAACATTTAACTGGCAGATAACGGGACTCCGGCGCGAGGGGCAGTGGCTGTGGGACCAGGACCAGCGTCAAGCTTGTCAGAATAAAACTCACGACTTCCTGCAACGGTTTCCAGAATAACAGCAACTTCCGCTGGCAAAGGCGAGCCGGCGTCTCACAGCTAACGGTGCTGACAGCGCCTACAGTGCAACCAGTAGTAATGTGCTGACAGAGGTAACAGTGTTTGCCTGGGGGGGAGGGGGACTACTCTACTCTGCGACAACGCAGAAAACAAATAAAGTGCGGTTCTACTAGTGTGTTCAAGGCTCTGTATTTCATTAAGAGATTCAGCCTTTCAATGGCTTTATGAATAAAAGACTATTTTAGTCATAAGGCAACTGCAAGCACCCAAAAAGTAAACATTATTTAAAACAAAAAGTTAGAGTTGGTACATGGTAACAATCCAAATTGAAAAAGCAATATCCCTCTTATAACCTGACTAAAATCTGTGTTGTGAACTTAATGTGTGAAGTCAGCTACTTATTTATCATTCAAAGCCTGTCTTCTTATTGTTGCATTGACTTTTTCATTTGTAAAGCCTTCTATTATTCATGTTTTACTGCCCAAAAGAAGACCAAGACCTCCATGCAGGAGTTGCACTGGGAAAGCCTTTGAGGACTGAAATGGTCAGATCACCCAAAAACATGTTTTCTCACACACCTCAAATTTTGGTATCTAGTCCTGCATATAGTTTTTATTTGATGTGCCTGGCCAAGTAAAACTAAAACTATGCATGGCTATAGTACCAAGAGGGCAAATGGAGAGAACACTTTTCTTTGGAATTCTGGTGACCTGGCCCTCGGAATGCAGAATGTGACAGTTGAGTCAGAACACATCATGATGACTCTCTAACTTAATGTGTCACAATTCACCTGTTGAGTACTTGTTGGACACACTGCTGGCTACTTGTTGGACACACTGTTGAATACTTGTTGGACACACTGCTGGCTACTTGTTGGACACACTGTCGAATACTTGTTGGACACACTGCTGGCTACTTGTTGGACACACTGTTGAATACTTGTTGGACACACTGTTGAATACTTGTTGGACACACTGTTGAATACTTGTTGGACACACTGTTGAATACTTGTTGGACACACTGCTGGCATTGATAGAGGACACTTGGTACAGTTATTTTAGAAATACAAAAAGCCAGGTTTTAACCCAGCTACATTGAAGCCACATTGTCAGTAAGGCGCAGCCATTTCTTCAAGATAAGAAAATGGACAAAGAGAGATCAGGAGGACTTTTCTCTCTGCCGAACCTGGGCTCTTCATGGCTCGGCAGGAATTGTCCCTCTGAGGACATTTCTGTTGTAGAAGAGATAAAAGAAGAGATTGAGGAGGAAATAATGGAGGAGTTTCAGGAGAAAGAGGGGGAGGTGGAGGAAGATATTGACGAGGTTCAGGACCACGCAGAGGAGCCTGAGGAAGGTAGTGTGGAGGAGATTCAGGAGCAGCTCTCTGACAGCAGAGGAAACAACAGCTACTGTTCCTTCTGTGAGGTAAGAAATAAGATGAATGACAGATGTTTACACACACATCAAAACAGTGAAAAAGTCAGATAATGCAGCTGACACCTCTGTCTAATTTTGTTCATACATCTCCCCACCTTCAACGCCTAAAGGGACAGTTTGTAGCATTTAGTGGGATCAATTTGAATCAGAAATGGGATATAAAATTGATAACTATGTTTTCATTAGTGTAAAATCAACTGAAACTACGAATCTTTCGCCATCTTGCACCGCCATGTTTCTACAGCAGCTGAGAACGGACAAACCAAACACTCACTCTCTTGTACGTAACCCAAAGGTAAACCTATTTGTCTTTTGCTTGCGAACCTGCGGTAACATGCCGCGGGACATATGCTGCTCCTAGAGTAGTGCTGTTATCATAAGGATGACTTCTGAGCGATGTCGTAATTTTGTTAATTTTCTAAAGCTGCACAGCTGATTGTTCAAGAGGGAACCCTACACTTTTCATATTTAACTAAAAATACTATATAAGCACAACAAACAGCAACAAATTGTTTTATCTCTCACAGGCAGAGGAATCTGAGAGATCTGAGCAATCAGATGGTCGTCATGAAGCCCTGGAGATGGAGAGAAGAGACACAGCTGCTCTTAAAGAGGCATTGAAGAAGGAAAAAAACACTCAAGCTCAATACAAAGCAGCCCTGACGCAGGAGCGGAAAGAAAAAGAGGCTCTAGCAAAGACTCTAAGGAACTGGCAAGCTGAGAAAAACAGCATTCGTGTTGAGGTGGAGTACTTGAAGGCCCAAGTGGCTGATCTCAAGAAGTCACAGAAAGATCAGCAGAGGAGCAAGGCAAAGCTGAAAGACACAAACGGCACAATGACCGCAGAGATCAAAGAGGACAAGAAGTTGATTGAGAAGCTCCAGAAGGATCTGGAGGCGTCTTCTTGTCAGCACGAAAAAGAATCAGCAGAGCGTGATCTGGTGAATTTTGCCAAAATCAAGGCACTGAAAGACCAACTCATTGAGCAGCAGGAGGAAAGTCTGGAAAAAGATACAATTCAATCCCTGCACCTCAACGTACAGAATCTTCAAATCGACATTGAAGCCAAGGACCACATTGTGTCCACACTGCAGGAGAAAGTGAACCAGTGGACCTCAGACCTCAACGAGGAACGAACCAAATACTGTTCACTCCAGAGAGACTATGAGGCTGTGGTCTCCCAGCAGCTGAAGGAAGCAGAAGTACTGGACCATCTGACTCATGAGAACCAACACCTCGCCTCTGAGAACAGATGTCTGCAAGGTGAACTTGAGGCTGCGCTAAATGAGAGGCAGCTTCATCAAAAGCAGCTTCAGGACGACCAAGAAGCTTGCAGCAGATACGAAGAGGCCGTTGAGAAGGAGAAGGCTCGGTTCTCGAGAGCTTTCAAAAAGATCCAGATCCAAGAGAAGGAGCTATCTGAGAAGACTCTGGCTTTGGAGAAGAGCCTGATTGGCGAAAAGGTCTTCAGGTCTTCCCTCAGAAGTGAGAAGAAGCACTTTGATCAGATGATCTTGGAAAAGCAGGCTTCAGTGGAACCTCTAGCAATCCTCTGTAACCAGCTGAGAGACGCGTCTGCAAACTCAGAGCGTCTGATGTATGAGATGCAGACTTTAAGGATGGAGAATGTAGACATCAGGGTGAAATTCCACATCATGGAGACTGAATTTGATAGAACCAGATCAAAACACCACTCTCTCTCTGAGCGCCATGAACAGATGTTGTCAAAGAAAAATGATACCATCTCTGAGAATCAGCTCACCATTGCTAAGCTCCAGTGCGTGGTAGACTGGCTCAAAGCACAGCAGTCAGAGAGCAAGACAAGACAGGCAGAACTTGAAGATGCCTTAAAACAGGACAAGACAACAGTCTCGGAGTTGCAGCAGATCGCATCTGCTCTTGAGAAAGAAAGGGCCAGGTGTGAGAAGCACCGAGTCGAGCTCAAGGAAGCTTTGACCCGGCAGATTGAAACCCTGGAGGAGAAGCAGAAAGTGGCCGTGGCTCTACAGAAAGCCCAGGACGACGTCTGCAGGCTTCAGGGACAACAGCTGGTGGAGTCAAACTTTCAGCTCAGACACATCAGTGACGCTGAGCTCAGGCTCAACCAGCAGAGAACTGCCCTGGGTGAGAGCACAAAGGCTCTGCACCACCTGCAGCGGGAATACACAGATCTAGCGAGGAGACACAGAGACATTAATTCGGACTATCGTGAGCTGCTTAAAACTCACAGCGCCCTCCAAATCAAATATGAGAGGCTCTGCTACGCACAAGGAGACCCACGACCGGACTTCAGCCCACCTCAGTTCACAGTCAAACTGTAATGCTCTGGGTGTATTTCCTCATTCGAGACGAGGGCCTAAGTACAGAGGGTGTTGTGTGATTGTATGCTTGTAAATGTGATTTGTTATACTGGCTATGTAAAAAAAAAAAGTCTTCATTGCAAAGACCGAGACATAATTGTCTTTACAGACAGACCGTGGGCAATTTAACCTCAAGCTGATGGAGTACACCATCTTTTGAATGCGCTCTTTAGTTTTACTTTTTGTGTGTGTAGTACGCTGTAAACATTGCAAGCAATGTCAATCAAATGCATTATTAAAATGTGTAAAAAGTAAATTGTCTTATGCTTCTGATTGGATTCAGCTGTTCCAAACAAAAGTGCAGGGAGAAAATCCCACCAAACTAACATAAGGGTTGAAATAAGGGCATCTGTTTTTTTATAATGTATGTTGTCATTTTATTTTGAAGTCCAAATAACCCCAAATCTGGTAGTAGTTGCTTAGTTGTGTAACTTTACGCAGCAGGGTGGGGAGGCGCCGAGACGCTATATCCAGGACAATGGGTGGTGGTAGTGATGGAGGCGAAGCCATTTTTTTAACAAAACAATTAGTAAAGTAAAAGTTTAAGACGATAATAATTAATAACCTATGGTAGTACTAGTACTAATCAAATATGTTTTGTTTTTACCCCACGTGTAGTATGAATGTAATGTGTGATCTTAAGACAGTTTATTTGTCTGGGATGTGTAAGGTCGCCATCTAGTGTTCAGGATTCATAAAGTTCAAGAAGCTGTTTTGTTCATTTTATTTCATGTTTATTTTTTAAAGCACATTTCACAACACAAATCCCAATGTAAAACTGGTAACATCACCATTGCAGAAATAAAATAGTTGCATTGTACTGTATACTGTCACTGCAGTTCAACAGAAATCTCTCTATAAAATAATAACATAATAAAACATATTTCACAGTGACATGGCATAAGGCGGTTATATACTGTATATGTTCAAAGTTTAGACTTATTCAAATTCAAATTGTTATTTTCCTTTGCAATTTATAAAAAAAACAAAAAAAACAGTGGTGACGATATCAATCCACACAGAGGAAGCTGTAGTTTTACTTTCTATATTATGGTGAAAAAAAACTGACAGCACGAAATAGAGAGGACATGTTTCTATACAAGTACAGACAGTATCAAACTCAAATAAACAGAAATAATCCCATGAAGTGCAAAGAATGACACAAAGTGGAAGCCCTTTTCTTTAGTATGGAGGTAACTTTCTGAAAAAATTAAATTAAATTAAAAGCAATAAAAAAATAAACTACCACCAGTTACACCCAGCAACAAAAGTCATCAGACAGACATGACCTCTTATTTAACAATGCCAACAAGTTGAGTTTAAAGCCAAAATACCACCTAATTTCAGAATTACAAAGCTACAAATTACACAACAGAGATACAGATCTTGCCCTGGACACTGTGTAGACCTGAGACTTTACCGGAGTCTGTGACTGGTGACTCCACCCACCCCGACCACTCCCTGTATAAAACGTATCAGATGGGCTTTGTGGCCACCATTTTGGGTTCCCTGCCCTTCCTCAGCTCATCCTCCCACAAACAGCTTGACTCACAAAATTGTTCCAGAAAAACAACAGCTCATGCTTCCTCTTCATACCATGATAGTTGTGGTGTTTGGGCTAATTATGTCACAACAAGATCGGAGGAGGCAAAAAGGGTCACACACCTTGAGTGTGAGGTAACTGGCTGCCATTGGAGTAAAGTCAATGGAGATAAAACAGAAGATGGAGGTTGATACAAATTGGCAGCTTTAGTCGCGGTAGTCCTTCGGTGGCTTATTGGCTGGCACAGGCGGTCTGTCGAGATCACGGTCCTCATAGGGCTCATCGTAGTGGTCGTCGTCGTCATTGCGACGGTCCCTGGGGTCGTCGCGGCGGTCATCGCGGCGGTCGTCGCGGCGGTCGTCGTCGTCATAGCGCTCATTGCGGTCATTGTACTTCTCGCGCCGGTCGTTGTAGTCGCTGCGTCGGTCGTCGTAATCGCTTCTGCGATCGGTGTAGTCGCTGCGTCGGTCGTCGTAATCGCTTCTGCGATCGGTGTAGTCGCTGCGTCGGTCGTCGTAGTCGCTGCGGCGGTCGTCGTAGTTGCGCTCACTTCGTTCCTCGTAGCGGTCACTGCCTTCAACAGGGCCCCTCACACTGGAGTCATGACCCCGGTCGTCCTCTTGTCCATCGGCAATGCGACTCTCACCATTTTTAACCGGCTGTTTGTCATTGTACTCATCCTCACGAAGTCTGGAAAGTGAACACATAACGGATAGATAATAGTCAGATATCTTTATGTGATGTGGGAAGGTTTTTTTTTCATTTTATTCCATTTCTTTGGCAGCTTTACCTGAAGCAAAGCTTCTACCATAGTTACCATGGAAGCGCCTCAGCTGTGTTGATTTGGTTGGTTAATGAAATCCTGAAACATTGAAGTAATCTTTCCAAAATTGGTAAGCGAAATCTGGAGGTCAAGCTTTTTGCGTTTTTTGACGGTGAGATAAATAAAGTCTGTCTCGGCTCGATAAAAACACAATCAATAAAGGCTGAATGAAAAGATCAGAGACATTGGATAAAAGGTAATTTTAGATGGAGCAAATGTGACCGTGCAGACGCAAACAAAGAGCAAATATCTGAAGCGTGTTCATGTGTAACGTTGACCTGCAACTTCTTTGTTTGTTCATGTTGGCTGGAATTAAGTATTTTTGGGAGGGGTCTGTCCTGGTGATTCATACATGAAGAGGAAGTAAAACTTGCAGACAGCTGTGAACATTATTTTTTGACTTCCTGAGTATGAAGCGTGCTTTCCCTCACACCCCCAAACTTTTTATTTTACAGTTCTGCTGAGTCTGATCTTTTCAGAGCTACAATTGAATTAGCGACTATGAACAGGTCTCTTTGACTCATCATTTGTTCACCTTGTGAATAGAATGCGCTGTATAAATTAAACTTTTTGCCTTCTAATAGTCAGTGTCTTGGTGGACGATAGACTTTCTCTGCCTAAAAACCGAAAAGCCCCGATATGTTTGGTGGCCTGCTCATTCAGCCTCTTGAATGGGCCGTACCGTTAACATCACAGCATCTTCTTCATTGGTCAGTGTGAATGTGTCTTTGGCAAACTTTACCCCATGGCGTATTCCTCCTCCTTCTTCTTCCTCTTCTTAATGCAGCAGCAGCAACAGATGGCGACGATGATTACGACCAACAAGGCGGCGACACCACCAATGATTCCTGCAGTGGAGCCAATGTTCATGGAAGCTGCAGGATTGATGAAGAGGAAGATAATGATGATGCATATTATAATGCATTGTTGTAAAGATATATTTATCCGGAATTCGACGTTCCCCGACAGGTCATGAAAAGCTGCTTTATCTCACGTGGCATGACTGTGAGGGTGATGTTGCAGGTGGCGGAGCGGATCTTGTTTTTCGAGGTGCAGGTGTAGTACCCTGATGTTTCTTTGGAGATGTTGTATAGAGACAGGATGCCTCCCTCTACAAGACAAAGAGAGTCACATACACACATCAGTGGCTTTATTTTTTTATAGACAACTTATTCAGTGCTACTGCTCATTAAAAAAATCCAAGGCAATCAATAATCAATGCTATTTATCATAGTTCCTGTCAATTGAATTGTTTTAGCTGATCAAATGTATATTGGTATCTGCCTAGATGTTGGCTGATAAGTAACAACAGATTGTCACTTGTTTGTCCACAAGAGGGGACCACATTTCATTCACAACCAACTTTTAAGAGTTGGGAAATGTTTGTTTCAATCATGTAAAAGGCAGCAAGGTAAGTAGACCTTGATGTGCCGAGAGGTGACTTACATTTTCCAGGATCGATAGTCCTCACAGAAACTGACACTTACTGTCGGTGGTTCTTGGGGCGGGCATGCGAGGATGTTTCCTGACATCTTCACTTTTCCACGAGTAAGCGGGTGCCGGGGAACCTTCCGCAGACAAACAGGTGAGGTTGATGTTCTGGCCGTATTGCGCCTTTCCCTCGATCTTACAGATGGGTGTAGATGGAGCCACTAATAAAAAAATAAAAAAAGTGGGATTTGTCCATTAAAATGACAGTAAAACATTTCTCATTTGATCTAAATTATGAAATGGGAATAAAGAATACAACACGTAAAACCTGTTTTCAAGTAAGGACATTATTCTGTTACGTAATTTCGAATGGGAGTTGTAACATGTCGATGCCACCTGGTAACACAGTATAGCACCACAGGTGGAACTAGAGACATCATAGAGACAATAGGGTGCCATCAGCCACAATGGCAAATCGAGCCAGAACGTAAAGCGGGGGTGGTCAATGTCCCCTTCCCTACTTCCCCCTCCCTACTTTCAGCAACTCCTGCTCAGACCACACCCATCTTTGAACTCGACCCTCATTTTCATCTGAACCACACACCTGTAAAGTTTTGTGACTGCAGTTTTCACCCTTGCGATGATATCGCAGTCGCAAAATCTGTCCACAGACCGAAATATCAACACCTAGCAAAGCTCTCAAAACGTCCTCTGTCGTAGTTCCTGCTACAGTAGGTGTCAACAGGACACATTTTGTCATGATGCCTCAGACTCGGGAGAAAACAATACCAAGGTTGCTGTCGCGGCTGGTAAAAATAGTTGAAACAGGAGCAGACCTGATGATCTACCTATATGCGTCAGTATTATTATTTTTTTTTTTAAGCAATAATTTACATCAGAGACATTTAAATGCTAAACATGATACTAACTGAGCTTTAGCTTCTCAAATAGTAACAATACTCGTACAATAATACATGTTGAATGTGAACCAAGAAACAATATGCACTACGCAACTCTATTCACCCACTTTTGAAACGCAGAAGATTTCTCTGGAAACAAATGAAAGGTTACCTAGCACCACCAGTACCGCAGTGTCGGCCGACTTGCCCTCGTCGTCCCCTGGAATCTGGGCGAGACACTTATACTCCTTGTTGTCCAATAGTCTGATGGAGTAAAGTTTCAGGTCGGCCTTTCCCGTGGCAACATCTACATCTAGGGACACCCGGCCTTCATACTTTGATTTGATGTCCGTACGTTTATTAAAAGAATAATAAGTGAGGATCTGGGTCTGTTAGACAACAGGAGCATCAGAGGAACATTAGAAGAGGAAGAAAACACAGTTCTCTTTATTGATAGATTACAGAGAATCATACACACACGCACACATAATCACACTGTAGTAGTCTGACCTCATCAGATTCGATGCGATCAGCGTCACCAGACCATGTGATGATGACTACGATGTCTTTCGAGGGAGTTTTGGGTTTGAAGTTGCAGGGCAGTGTGATGTTGTCACCCCTGGCAAACTCGTATATCTCATCTGGGATGTTCACATCGATGGCACCAACACCTGACAGCACTGTCACAGAAAACAGAAAATATTGATTGTTACCATTTAGTTGAGAGTGCCTATCCTTTATAAAAACAGTAAATATCGATATCGCGGTACCGATGTATAATCCATATATATCCCAGCCCTATGTAAAATTACGGCAATATGGCCAAATCGTCTTCCATCCCTATATAGGTAATTTCATTTCTCGAAAAAATAAAAAAATAAATAGTCTATATGCATTAACCACATGGTAAATACTATTGTTGTATGTTCTTGTGGGAATTTAATACTTGACAAAGGAAAAGTTGGCTTCTGAATTTTTATTAAGAACTTTAGTGCAAAACAAACATCAGTTTCAAGTGAAATTATAGAGACAAAACGAATTAACGTTCCCAGATATACCTAGACTATGTTGACAGGCATGCACACAAACTAACCGCATTAAGACAATCGTTTGATTTAACAAAATGGGACATTGCCAAAGACAGAATTCATATGTATTCAGATTGTCTGTTAAATTTGAGTCAGTATGTGTTCGCTATTATCAATTTAGATGACGGAATTGGATATCACGATATATGATTTCATCATGACATGATTGAAAGACTATCAATCATCGTATTGAATCGTCACACAGCTCAATGCAACACGTGCCTTCGCTGTGAATGATTCCGCACCGAGATCTGCACATATAACCTCTTACCCCGCCCTGCCACCCACACAAACGCAGACAGACAACACAAGTCTGTTTTGTTTGGAGCTGAAACGATTAGTCAGTGGACAGAAAAGAAATCAATCAATGAGTAAAACAAAAAATTGTCAACCAAAGCAAGACATTTCAAGACGCCACCATGAGCGCTGGGGACTTGTGTTGGACATTTTACAGACTTGCTTTACCCAGTAAGTAGGCCGGACTTAATCATACAGCAGGTGACAATAATCTTTAGGTGAAGCCCTACTTTTCTTCTTCTAAGTATTTGATTGAGTATCACCCTTTATATTTAAAACAAGCCTCTTTTGTGTTCATGCGGATGAAAACAATCCAGGCCGAGTCAATATATTACATATTTAGATGTAGTGATGCTGATTTCAAGAGTGCTAATAATTTTGTGAAATCGAGTTATCGTTTTTTCTTTATCTATGAATTTTACAAAAAATGGGGTAAGCTCTCCACAAACACAAACTAGTGAGACGGATCACCTGCATAAACAGGTGGCTTGGGCCTGCTCAGGGTGGGAATACCCGAAGGTGAGTTAACGGGTGTGGCAGCTCGGTAAGACGCAAAGAATACCATTTGTAGCAGGTAAACTCACCCAGAGACAGCAGAGTCAAGGTAGAAATCCTCCCCTCCATTGCCAATGTGTTTATTTTCTCAAACAAACCCACTGATTCCTCTGTGTGTGTGGTCGTTTTCTCTCAAATGTAAAAAGGAACTGCAGCCACCTGGGACAAATTTGCATCGAAACCAACTGGTTTGCCTCCACTGGGTGTGCCCGCCGCGTCTGGATGACTGACAGCGCCCCACCGCCAATCACCGCTCCTGCGGTTCAGACATTCTTCATCCACCCACCCACCTGGCGTGTGTCGGCTTGTCTTCAGAATACCCTGTACCTGAGTTCAAAGGGTTACGCCTTCCCTGTGACATGTCTGTCAGGGTCGCTTTCTTATCAGGAACACTGTTTCCAAATATAACCAATGTCACTATAGTTCTATAGCTCTATAGTTCACCAACCCATAGTATTACCAGAAATAACATATAGGTTTTTATTATTTAGGCCAGCATTTCATGTTATGCTGGTTTAAAAAAATAGAAGACTACATATTTGTTCGTAGAATTTTTCAAAGTACAGCATGTTGCCAAAAAAAGTGCAAGACTGTTTTTGTTTCCCTTCAGTTTTTCTAAACTGTGAAGAGGCAAAACCCAGATATTCACAAAGCCTTTGAGGAGTGACAGGTTTTTTTTCATGGAAAGGTTTGGGGTCTAAAAGTACTTCATTTTAGGGGTTTAGCAAAGTTCAGACTACACAAGAGTCTGGGATGTGTTGTTGGTGCAGTGAAAACTGATGTGTGTTGTTGGTGCAGTGAAAACTGATGTGTGCTGTTGGAACAAGAGAAGTGTTTTGTCCTGCCAGACTGGTTTGACAGGATCTATCACCTCGAGGCGCGCACACACACACACACACACACACACACACACACACACACACACACACACACACACACACACAAACAAACAACGAAACAGAAAGAGACAACGAAAGAGCACAGGGTTTCAGGAACTAATTTCAAGCTTGTCCTCCAATGATAAGAGTTTACAATAATTGTTTTTGAGTGACTAAGGAAGCGGTTCATGGTTTGTGTTTGGCTCAGCTTTGTGTTGTAGCCTCTACAGCACCGTTCAGTTGATGTGACTGAAAGCTATCCAACAATGTCCTAATGTAATGGTACAAGTCTATCATGATTAAAAGCACCCAACCTTTAATACATTGTGAATAAAATAAAATTAAAAAAAAACATGCACATTTATGAGTAGAATGTGAAAGGAAAAAATCTAGTTCCAACCACTCGGGTGAATTAAAGGACTATTCAAAATTTTCGGATACATGCTTATTTGTTTTCTGGCGAGGAGTTAGATTAGAAGATCAATACCACTCTCAAATTGGTCTATATTATAAAGCAGCTGGTTAGCTTAGCTTAGCACAAATACTGGAAACAGGGGGAAACAGCTAGCCTGGTTGTGTCCAAAGGTGAAAAAAAATGTGCCTACTCTAAACTCACTAATAAAGCCATTATATATTGTTTACTTATTTATACAAAAGACAAATTTGGTTACATTCACCAGGACCACCCCATAATTTGCATCTTGCGAAAAAAATCAAACACTGAGACAGAAACCACGTCCCAGTTGTTGTTTGTTGTCTTTCTGTTTCCATGGAAATGTTCCTACCATTCATAGCTCATCAAAGGTAAATCCTCTAGTTGAATAGATTTTCACAAACCACTTTCATTTTTAGCCATATAGCAAGTGAAACACTTCCCAATAAATACATTATGTTTCTCCCCAACTTGTTGACAGCATATATAAGACAACATCTTGCATATATTTATCATGTGAAAACTACTGAATACAATTCTATGAAAACCCTCTGAAGAGGACTTTTGACATGCAAAGTAGGTAAAACACGGATGTATATAATAAATGCAATAATAAACACCTGTGCCTTTCCTACAAGTCCTCCAAATCATGACACAAAATAGGTTGTTTGTCCATAGAACGACAAATAGAAGCGTTTTCTGGTCTGAAAAGCGTAATTTACTGCTGCCATTATGGTAACCATAAATGCAAAGGTAAAGTTTTATGTTGTGATCATTAATTGGGAGATAAAATGAGCTCCAGTAATGGAAGTCAGTGATGCCAAGCAGAAAGATCAGCAGGCACAGTGTGTCAGAGTGACTTTAATTAAAACAAATACGATGTCAATCATGGACAGTATGAGTTGAGGTCTGAGAGAGTAGGTGTTACCGATCCTGTTATGATTCTGTGCCCAAGGATGTGGGGAAAGTTCATTCATTTATCACACACAAATCAGCCCAATATTGATAAGTGCAACTTTCAAATGAAATTCTGTCTGTCAATTTGTTTTATTATATATTCTGCAGCATTTTGTGCAACGAAAGGTTCGATGCGGCATTTACAGACATACTACATTACAGGCAGGGCAAAAATAATTAAACTGTCCTTCCGCTGAAAGATTAGGAAGAACGTGTCGGATCATAGCGAGAGCGTCATTACATCTTATACTTGATATGTACGTGACATTTTGTGCTTCAACAACAACCTTTTCCCTGTGGAACTAATTCATTTGATTGTATTGTCAAAAAGGCAGAAAGATGGAAAATATTGTTTTTTCCACCCATGCACAGGTGTATACATACCCGTACATACAAACAGAAGGAGGGGAGACACTTCCAGGTTCTTTTTCTGTCTCTCATTCCCTCTTCTCTCCTGCTTAACACCAATTTCATTTCTTGTGCTCCCGGCAGTCTTATCTCTCCTCCACCCAATGACTCCGGACGCCACGACACCTTTTATTTTCTACCTCATAGAATTGAAGCACGTAAAATTGCCCGGCAGTTCTTGACAAATCACGGAGATGAACAGGGATTAGAGAGGTTCTCTCTCTGTGCCACATTGCACCCTGCTGGATTTCTCCCATCGTTGTTTATTTTTTTCTTATCTGTCATGTCTGTATTTCAATGTCTGTATTTCAATGCATCACCTGTGATGTTTCTTACATGGATCATTTCTCTGCCTGAGTGCCGGCTGATGGCCTGTCGGGTCATCTTTGTCTCTGGTACCTGTGAAGTTCCATTATCCTGAGGCAGCTGAGGAGCCATAGAAGCATCACTTTCAATAGTAACACGCTGGGTAATTGCAGGATGTGGACTCAACAGGATATCAGCTATATTCAACCAGTCAGTCTGTGAAAACACCACATCTCATAGTGCTCGAGAGAGCACAATGTGACTTATGTTCTCTGATTATCGGTCAGTTAATCATTTTAGGAATACATGGGTCGCAGTTTCAAATGGCTGGATCTGAACAAAGCACAGAATGTTGTTTTAATAAAAGGCTGTAATAGGTGATTAAACGGTTAAACCTGCAGTCGCCCAAAACTTTTAGGTAATCTAAATGTCATTTGGTCAATCCACCACTTTGGTCCATTCTGAAGTATTTCAACACCTATTGGTTGGATTGGCACAACATTTGGTTCAGACGTTCATGATGCCCAGAGGATAAACCTTAATAACTTCCGTGATCTCCTGACTTTTCATCTAAAGCCACCAACAGGTCAAAGTTTTCTCTTATCCAGTGAAATTTCTCGACATCGATGGATTGACACAGTATTTTGTACAGACATTCATGGTTCCCAGAGGATAAGGCCTAATGACTTTACCTTTGAATGGATTGTCATTATATTTGGTACTGCACATACAATTATGTCCCCCTTCGGATGAATTGTAACAACCTTGGTGATCATTTAACTTGTCATCTACCGCCATCTTCTGGTCAAAATTTGTATTTGTCCAATAATTTGCCTCATTACGATAACACCAGCACCAGCAAACACCAGCACGTCAGCATTGTGAACATGTTACCAGACTGACATTAGCATTCAGCTCAAAGCACTGCTGCACCTCAGTGCATCCTTACAGAGCATGGCTGTAGACCTCCAAAGTGAATTTTGGTAACAGCAGTCCCTTCGATCAATCAATTTTGGCTGTGAGCTGCCGTCTTATGACACATTGGGTGAGAAGCTGAATAAGTCTTTAATTTGTAATTACAATTCAGTTATTTTTTGTTAAAAAACATATTCATCCCTTCTGGGGTTATTGGTAATGGCAGTTTACAATAACACAGACAACCCATACAGTAGGCTATAAGGGGGAAAGAACAAAAAACAGCACTTCCAGCTAGTTAAAAACTAAAAACAGAGAATACAAAGGAGCTATTCATAAGGATGGCAAAGTAAACAACTGACTCAGGATGTTCAGCAATTTACTTTAGACTTGTTTGGTCGAAAAATAAAGTAAATTAAATCAACAATCCTCTCGTTCAGTCCAACTTTAAACTGAATTTTCTCACACATTTACTGTATTTTGAGGATATGTTGTATTATTACTGCACGTAAAAGGTCATAGAAAGACTCAATAGCAGATTGCTAAAACCACTGAAAATAACGCCACTGTCTGCAATTACGCTTTAGAGGTGCTTAGCAACCATCTCTGTCTTTACATTCCACGGTAAGTGATTATCAAACGCTGCCTGGATTTCAATGCTCTTAGCATGACCGTCTATTTCAAGTCTTATATTAATGGGACATTTTTTGGTTTTAGATACATACGCCAAGATGTGTCATTGCACTACTTCGATCCAGCTCTTCACTCTGACAAAAAAAGACACTTTGTGTGTGTCTTGTTGGCCTGGAGATTAAAGAAAGTGGCCATGTGCCTTCCTTGCGTACTATTCACCCAACATTTTGCAATTATTTCATGTCAGCTCTCTCTAATAAAATACTTGGTGGGAAACAGCTATCATTTAAAAAAAAAAACTTTACAATGTGTTGTAACATTATAATATAAAAATATGCAGTTGCTAAATACTGTACTATAACTCTACAGATAGATAGATAGATATATAGATAGATAGATGTCATATTTTCTTTCTTAATTTAAAATCAATGTTACAGACACACATATTGATTGTTCTTCATAGGTGCATGTTGTGTAGCTGCGCGCACTGGATAACAGCTCTTGCGGACTCCCACTTACAAACACGTGCACACGACTCTAAAGTTGGACACAAAATTGTCACCCCATCGTGTCGCCTTCTCTCCGAAACCACAAAAGACCCGTCCATGTGTCTCTGAGTTTTACATTGAATTGTAAAAAAAAAAAAGAAGAAAAAAAAACTCGAGTGAGAGAGAGACTGACCATCTGTGCCCAA